TTTTTTTTTTTTTGAGACAGAACCTCAAGCTATTGCCCTAGGTAGAGTGTTATGACATCACAGCTCACAGCAACCTCCAACTCCTGGGCTCAAGCTATTCTCTTGCCTCAACCTCCCACGTAGCTGGAACTACAGGCACCCACCACAATGCCTGGCCATTTTTTGATTGTAGCTGTCATTGTTATTTGGCAGGCCCAGGCTGGATTATGAACCTGCCAACTCTGGTGTATGTGGCTGGCACCTTAGCTGCTTGAGCTACAGGTGTTGAGCCTGCAGATGACTTTTTTTTTTGAGACAGAGCCTCAAGCTGTTGCCCTGGGTAGAGTGCAGTGGCATCACAGCTCACAGCAACCTCAAACTCCTAGGCTCTAGCAATTCTCCTGCTCAGCCTCCCAAGTAGCTGGGACTACAGGTGCCTGCCACAACGCCTGTTGGTTGCAGCCATCATTATTGTTTGGCTGGCCCAGGCTGGATTCACACCCGCCAGCTCTGCTGTATGTGGCTGGTGCCATAGCCACTTGAGCCCACAGGTATTGAGCCCTGCAGATGACTTTTAATAAACACTTATCTCTCTTCTAAGCCTCAGACCTGAATTTCTAACTGCTTAGTATATATGGTAATATCCAGCATCAATATTTCCTCTTTCATATCCATCTTCTCATCTGACCTTCCCAACAATTCTGAGGAAGTCAGGCCAGAATATGAACCCATATTTTAGGCAAGAGCCCAAAAGGTAGGCTTGCCGAAGTTTTTGTGGCAAACCTATTATGGAAATTCAACTTTGGGTGATCTTTCTTCTATGCCATGTGGCACAGCCGACTATATGGGTGTTTCAATGGAATCTCAAACCCAGTGTGATCAAAATGTCAACTTACAGCTCAGCACCTGTAGCACAGTGGTTATAGCAACAGCCACATACACCTAGGCTGGCAGGTTTAAGCCCAGCCTGGACCAGCTAAACAATGACAACTGCAACAAGAAAACAGCCAGGCATTGTGGTGGGCTCCCAGTTACTAGGGAGGCTGAGGCAAGAGACTTGCTTAAGCTTAAGAGTTTGAGGTTGCTGTGAGCTGTGATGCTACTGCACTCTACCAAGGGTAACATAGTAAGACTCTGTCTCAAAAAAAAAAAAAAATCTCAACTTACTTACTCCCAACCTCCTCCTACCCCCAATAAAACACACACACAGAGTAACCAAAAAGCCCTGCCTGGGTTTCCCGCCTTGGTTAAAGGCATCTCACTCACCCAGTCATCAAAGCTAAAATCCTGGGGTTCATGCTCAATTCATCCCTCTCTTCCAACTCTCACATCCAAAATCATTTGTCAGATCTTTCAGACTTGACCTTCAAAATGTCTGAAATTTGCTTTGAATTCATCATTCCTCATCAATGCCCACAGAATGTCTTCCCCACAACCCTTCCACCAATCTCCAGCTTTCAGGCCTGCCCTCATAAGCCTTCATATTATTCAGGGGATCTTCTTCCTAAAGCACAGATCTGAGCCTGCCATCCCCTAGTTGGAAAATCTCAGCCTTGAGGGACTCTACCCAACAAATGCAAATATTGTAACCTAGTCATTTGTAACCTCACATTAACCTGAAATTTAAAAAAAGAAAAGAAAATCTCGGCCTTGTACTTCCCACCTCTACACCTATGGTCTCCCCATCCCTTTGAGGGTGAAGGTTAAATGTCTTTGCGGCCCAGGTGAAATGCCACCTCTCTTGGTGAACGCTTCCACAACCTTCCTATAAACTTGAAATGTTTCCTTTTTTTGAGACAGAGCCTCAAGCTGTCGCCCTGGGTAGAGTGCCATGGCATCACAGTTCACAGCAACCTCCAACTCCTGGGCTTAAGTGATTCTCCTATCTCTGCCTCCCAAGTAGCTGGGACTACAGGCGCCCGCCACAATACCTGGCTATTTTTTGGTTGCAGCTGTCATTGTTTGGCAGGCCCGGGCTAGATTTGAACCCACCAGCTCAAGTGTATGTGGCTGGCGCCTTAGCTGCTTTAGCCACAGGTGCCGAGCCAAAATAAGTTTCTTATATCTCTGCTCTTCCTGTAGCACCATTTCTTTCTTTCAGCCTGTATTATGATAACTGCACTCACTGGTCAATCTGCCTGCTAGCCTGGGAGGCTGCTGGCAATAGGATCCTGGTCTAATTAGTCTGTGTCTTTTCTGAAGCAGATAATCCTTAAACATAAGATAAGTCCTTAAACATAGTAGGTGATTAGTTTGTTTTTCCTTTCATATTTGGAAACTTGTTATAAAAAGGGCCACATTCCTAGTAAGAAAGATCCTCAAACTGAGGTAGGATGCCTTAATTTACCCTTTGAGAGACTGGAAGTTATCCAGCATTGTTCCTCTGTATCCCTTACCCTTCAAAATATCACTCTCCCTGTCCCAGAGAAGGCAAAAGACAATTTTAACTCTTTATTTGAACAAACAATTCCAGAGACAGAAGGTTAGTCATGACAACAGCTTCTCACTACAACACAAGGGTGGGCATGGCTCACTAAAGGGACAGGCCAGGCGCCTTGGAACAATATATACAATTTAAACAGTGGCTAAACCGGTGACAGTTATAAAAACACAAAAAGGAAGCTAGGGAACAGCAAAGCCAACAGGGAAAGAACTGGGTACCCCCTTTTCCAGACACTAATAGTTTTCTGGGCCTCAAAGTCAAGATGGGGAAGTGGATGGGGGATGTAGGCAGTAGGGGCAGGGAACTTGCCAAGAGCTCCTCACCTATTCTTTGACCACAGATCCCATCCTACATGACCCAGGCCTCCATAGACTTGGCCTGGCTCTCATGATGGGGGAAAACAAGAGTGGAGAACCCAGCCCCCACCCAAGTCAGAAGGTAGTTTTTGCCTTGGGAACACTGTCCATTGAACTAAAGGGAGGCAGTTACAGAAAGGGGCTAAGCATGTTGACACCATGGCTCATGCCAACCTAAGATGGCAGAGAGAGACAAACACATAAACCAAGGGGACAGGAATCTGCACAACAGGAGTCTGCTCCCCATACTTAGAGTCATTCTCTGCCTCTGAGGAAAAGAACACATTTGGAAGCTTTTTTTTTAACTGCAGCACCAAGGGCTGGTGCTTGCTGGGGTGGGGTGGGGGACATGGTGGTAAGAGGGTACCAGCAACCAATTATCTCACAGGAGGGGAACAGTGTCTACGCTTTGTGTTTCAGATAAATGGTCCCCTCATTACTGTCATAGTTTCTCTCATAACTTTCAGATAAGACCCTTTTTAGTGGGACTGGGGAAGATTTGAGAAGGAAATGGGCACAGGGCAGAGATGGCAGCTGGCAGCTGGGTTCTTCCCTAGGTCAAAGCTAGGAACAAGAGGCTTTACCTACATGGGATGGGTCAGGAAACCCAAAGCCAACAGAATCACCAGAGATATTAACACTCTACCCAGAGTCTGGACCCAAGAGAAAGGGTTTACTTTGAAGTATAAGGAAAACGGGCCAGCTGGGTTTTACCCAACACCGAGAGACCAGCTCCTAAGTACAGAAGACTAGGACCTCGTGTTTGTCAAGTGGTATGGAAGAAGGTAAAAGCCAGGGGTTCCTAGAGAAGGCAGGGAATGGGTGAGTGGAAAGGGGCAGTTAGGCCCCTTCAGAATGAGTAGCAGTGGTTCCTAGGCCAGTCACTCTGCATAACGTGGCCACAGGACAGACACTGATGATGTGAAAAATGGATACAGACGGCACATGGGCTCAGTCCAGGTCTTCCTCACCAGGACGACCCAGTTCCTCATAAATCTCACGCACAGCCAGGATACGATTGAGCATGCTTTCCAACATGCTGCGGTCCATGGGAATCACAGAATACCAGAGAGGTGACTCGGCGATGCAGGACCGCTCGGGTTGCAGGTAGAATACATCGTTGCGAGTCCGGAGGCTTTCAGGACTGCAACAGTGGGGTTAGGGGGTGGACATGGTAAGGCAGATCAGTACCAAGGCAAAACAGCTTGGGTCCCCATGCTAATGCCATTCCTGCCAAACCTCCAACTCACCATTTTGAGAGATAGAATTCATAGAACTTGACAGGGCAGCGGAGGGGATTCATGCGGTTCTCACGCTGTTCTAAGATAGGAGCTTCATCTTCTCTCTTCCGTTTCCCAGGACCCGTGTCTGTAGGGGAGGGATGCATCTTAGATTAGTTAAAGCATAGGCTCAACAAGCTACTGCCAAGAACATAGTCCAGGGTACAGAGGAAGCCTCAGGACACAACACAGTCTCACAAAGACATAAGGACCGAAGAATTATTGGTCAGTCTCTCCATACTAGCTAAACATCTGGTCAGCATGTTGCTCTGCAGCACTTTGCATCTCACTCCCAAAGTCTCTTTATAACCTCCCCCAAGTTGATTTCTTGAAGAGGTCATCTCAGAAAGTTATACAAACTGGGCTCGGCGCCTATAGCTCAACCGGCTAAGGCGCCAGCCACGTACACCTAAGGTGGCGGGTTCGAATCCCCA